AATCTCCTTTAGGTGGTAGTATAATATTAGCAGCTATCGTTTTAAAATTAAGTTTATATGGTATATTTAGATTAATATTACCTATATTACCTAAAGCAATATTAGAGTTAACTTTTATAGTTTATACTATAAGTATTATTACTATATTATATGCAAGTTTTAGTACATTAAGAACTATAGACGTAAAAGAGTTAATTGCTTATAGTTCTGTTTCTCATGCAGCTGTGTATCTAGCAGGTGCATTTAGTAATACTGTTCAAGGAATAGAGGGAAGTATACTTTTAGGATTAGGACACGGATTTGTTTCTAGTGGTCTATTTATATGCGCAGGAGGAATACTGTACGATAGATCTAGTACTAGAATAATATATCTTTATAGAGGTATAGCTTAAATTACGCTATTATTTTCTATATTATTCTTTATATTATTATTAGGAAATTATAGTGCTCCTTTAATATTTAATTTTATAGGAGAATTCATATCTTTATATAGAATATTTAAAAAATTACCCATATTTGGTATACTTAGTGCTAGTTCTATGGTATTATCTGCTGCATTTATAATGTATATGTTTAATAGAATTTCATTTAGAGGATCGTTTACTAAATTCTTTGAAAAAAAAATATTTAATACTTTAAAAAGAGAATTTATATTATTACTTATATTAGTGTTATTTATAGTTATTCTTAGTATATATTCTTTATTAGTTTTAGATACTTTATATTATTCTGTTATAAATCTAATTTATAACTTTTAATTTTAGGAATTATTAGTAATAATTACTGTTAAATAAAACAAATTATTTTTTAATATAAAAAGAAAATAAATCTTTATATATATATATATCAGATTAGGGCCGGGTTAGTTAGGCGCTCCTTTTGGGTAGGAGAGTAGCTGCGTTTAAACCGCAGTAATCTAAAAATTAATATTAAAATGAAATTTTTTAATCTATATACTTTCGTTTTATATAAAACAACTCAAAATTTAAAAATAGAAATTTAGACGAAAATAAAATTAGAAAAATGCCATAATTAGTACCTTTTTATTATATAAATAAAGTAGTCTTTGCTTTTATAATAATTGTATTAGTTCATTATATCTTCTCTAAATATATTTTACCTGGAATGGTTTACTTATTAGTTTCTCGTATATTTATAGTAGAAGATTTAGAAGATATATTTTACTAAATAAATTTTTATTATATAATTCAGACTAATTTAATTAGACGAAATTCTGTTATTTAAGGACCTATCTAATAATTAATAAATTAATTTTAGTAGTAAGAAAAAAAGAATTATAATAACTTTATAGTAAATAATGAAATATCTAGTCCTTTGACATAATTTGAAATAAGAGATTTATTTAGTATTGAATTGCCTATACTAAATAATTTATGTATTTCTTTAACTAATATAGGATTATACTTAATAATAGGATTAATATTTATAGTTATAATAGGAATATTAGGTGTAAAATAATTTTAAATTAGTAGGGAATAGATGATCTTTAGGTTAAGAAACTTTATATATAACTATTCATAGTATAGTAGTAAATCAAATTAACCCTAGAAGCGGTTAAGTGTATTTCCTATTTATTTATATATTATTTATTTTTATCCTAATAAATAATTTCATAGGTATAGTGCCTTATAGTTTTATATCTATAAGTTATTTTATTTTAACTTTTGCTCTTAGTTTTACTATAGTATTAGGTATAACAATCTTAGGTTTCTAAAAATATAGGTTAAAATTCTTTTCTTTACTAGTACTAGCTGGTTACCTATTACCTTTATTACCTTTATTAGTTTTAATTGAACTTATATCTTATTTAGCTCGTAATATATCTTTAGCTTTAAGATTAGCTGCTAGTATTCTATTAGGTTATATATTATTATATATCTTAGCAGGATTTACTTATAATATTATATCTTCTGGTATAATATTCTTCCTATTAGGGTTAATACCTTTATCTTTCATAGTAGCCTTTTTAGGTTTAGAAATAGCTATAGCTTTCATACAAGCTCAAGTTTTTGTAGTTCTAAGTTCTTCTTATATAAAAGATGGATTAGACTTATATTAAAAAGAATAAAATTTAAATAAAGTAAAAAAAAAATGATGATAATGATGATGAAAAAAATGAGATTTAATAAATTATTAATATTGCATAGTCAATTATGCAGGTTTTCCTTAATTCTTTTTTTAGGAATAGTTATATGTTTAGGATATTTATTTTATAATAGTATTAAATTTATTACTTTAGATAAAAGTTATATAAGTCACCCTAATATAATAGAAAATAATACTAGCTTAGTTAATTTAAATGAAATTAAAGAAAAAGATTCTTTTAAAGATCTAAAAAAATCTTTCTTTTCTTTTATTACTTCTTCTAAGTATTATCCTTCTTTTACTAAGTAGTTCACCTTCTACTTTAAATATACCTCCAGTTAATAGATCTTTACCACCTTTAAATATACCTCTAATTAATAGATCTTTACCTCCTTTAAATGAACAATTAGATAGTATATTAGAATAATTAATATTATATAAAGTCTAATAGATAAAAGTTTCTAATATTATTTTAAATATAGAAAATGGTACTGAAAATTTTTACCCTTCAGAGTCTATAAGCGAATTTAAGACTAATTTAAAGGTTATTAAATATTTAGTAGAAAATCTTAGATCTTCGGCAGATAATCTTATTACTTAATAACAGGCTATAGATCCAAACTATAGACTACCTGAATATTAATTAGATTACAATAGCTTTATATATTCTGTATTTTTTAAAAAAAATTATATAAAATAAAATATTAACATATTAAATTGTAATAGATGATTGATTAGGTGTATGATTCTAATAAAATAGATAAATTATAAACAAAATATTTTCTATTTGGAAAAGTTATAAAACAAGAAATATATATATACTATTAAATATAAAAGTAAGGAATTTTGTTAGAAAATAAAAATAAATATGGGTAGTTTTTATATAAAACATATTATAATTGCGAACTAAGAAATTCTATATAGTAAATTTATTTAGTTATATGATTAGATTAATATTTCCTAATATAGCTTATATTTTTACCCTAATGCTAATATTTTAGAATTATTAGTGATGTGTTTAATGCATCAAAAAAAAATGTAATAAATAGATGAGTTTGGTGATGGCTCTGAATGAACGCTGTTTAAGTGCTTGATATATGCTAATCGAACGATTAATTTAATTTGAATTTTTTTTATTAATAAGTGGTATATAGGTGAGTATATGATATTTTATAGCTAACCTTAAAGTGAGGGCTAAGATCCCTTATATAAGAAAGGATTTATTAAATCCGCTTTAAGAAGAAAATAAATATTTTCGAAATAGGTAGTAGTTAGGGTGATGGCCTAACTAGCTCAAAATTTTCGTAGTCGTAACTGAAAGGTTGATCGACCACATTAGGTCTGAAAAAAGCCCAATGCAAAGTAACGTACAGCAGTGAGGAATCTTGGTCAATGGCCTAACGGCTGAACTGGCAACTTGAGTAAATGAGAAGTTTGAAAATATAAATATGAGTAAATTTTAATTGATTATTCGAGTAAAATTTTAAGTATATATAGATAATGACAATATATATATAAAGGTCTTGACCAATTACGTGCTAGTAGTCGCGGTAATACGTATGAGACTAGTCTTATTTATTTTAAATAGATTTAAAGGGTACCTAGACGGTTAAAATATCCTAAAAAAGGTAATATTTGACTAGAGTTTTATGTAAGGAGACAGTACTTAGAGTGGAGAGATAATATTCTGTGATACCAGGTACCTTAGGTACTTGGCACCTCGAGCGTCGCCCAGCATCGTCTCACCTAAGGTAGGTACTGAGTACTCCGAAGGCAGTGCTCGTATAGTACCTACGGATAGCTCATCGGAGGTTGCTTCATTATTACCTATCCGTAGACTGACTCGGGGGTCATTCGCAGTATAGGTGTACTTGCGCGATATGCTTTAAATTGGTTCAGTGTGCCCACTCAGTTCCATACGTACAATTCCGCCATGCTCTGAGCCTCTGGCCGTCGACTCGAAAACCGCCCCTATTTCTTTTCCCCCCCTTCCCCATGCCAACTGACCAAGATATATCTCCACACGACTCTAAAATATGAAACTATTCCACTGTTGTCCACTGATTAAATTCCAGAACTACCCCATACTGCGAGACTTCTCTCCAGTCAAGTTCGACTCAGCATGAAACGCGTGGATCGGATGGCATGGGCAGTAGAATGAACCAGGCCGGGTCTGGACATTGACAGATCATGTATACGTCGCCTCTCCCGAATGGTTCTCCTTCCTTCCCTAAGCGGCGGCGGCAGGCGGTTCGGCAGCGAGGGGAGGAGTAAGCGCCGCTTGCTGCAGCCGCTGTTTCTCTTCCTCCCTCATCTTTTGCTGGATCCTGATCCGTTCCGGTACTCTCATCTCCCTTGGTCGCGTGATCTTCCAACCGGGCAGCGATTCCTTCCCCAAGGCGCGGAGCGTTACGCGCTCGACGAGACTATAGTCGCCGTCCGGCCGGTCGAAGCACTGGGGTTCGCGGAAGAACACGGGAGGGTTGGTGATGATGCGGAGCTGGCGCAAGGGATTCCGCGACGCCGAGTGCAGCATGAGCGGGTGGAGCAGGAAGACGTCGCCCACCTTGCCGTGGGCCTCGACGAAGTTCTCGCAGCTCCTGGCCGTGGTGTTGAACCAGTCCAGGGTCTTCTCCGCCTCGAAATCCGGGTGTCCCCGGGGTATCATCCGGGGGGACACGCCTTCCGGGTGGTCGTACAGGTAGCGTGCGACTTTGGGGATTCCCTCCGGGCAGATCATCGTTCCGCCGCCGCCCGGGCTAATGTCCGAGAAGATAGGGATGACCAGCAAGGCTTGCTCGGGAGAGTCGAGGTAGTGGACGAAGAAGTCTCCGTCGACGTGCCAGTTGTCAAGTTCGTGGGGGTGTGTCTCCTTGCCCTCGTACTCGTCACTGCCGAGATTAACAATGAGGGAGTCGCGCCACTCACGGGAGTCGTGCAGTTGACGGCCCGCGCACAGCTCGTTAATGGCCGACCACGCCTTTGGGGAGAAAACGGAGGCGTCGAAAGTGCGATGGCAGGGCATGTTGGTCCGCTGTGCCCAGGTGGACTTGTCGTTGGGGTCCATTCCTAGCCGCGTCCACACATCCTGATTGACCCAGTCGGCCTGTTCTTTGGTGAAGCAATCTGTCAGACGAAGCCAGCCATGTGCGACGAAGTGCTCCTTTTCTTCCTCGGTAAGAGGCCTCGGGGCTAGCCGTGCCTCGTTAGAGGTTAGGGGTTCGACCCATTCACTCTCCTCCAAGGGAGCAGCATACATCTTGATGTATTCGATATGTACGGAGAAGAGTCGTCGAGTCCCTGATGTTTCGGAGCGTTTTAAAGGGAATGCGAACAACCGGAGAGTCCGGATGAAAGAAGAAAAGAAAGAAAAGCAAATCGGACGTCCCCGAGGTTGATGTAAAGCGAAGTAACAGGGGAAAGGGAGGGTAGTTCAATATCCTACAATGCAGTGCTAGACTTGAAGAAGAACTGGGTGACAACTCCTTTGCCCCCTGCAATGCTCGCTTGTCAACAAGGTCATGAGACGCAGGTCGCGTAATACTAATGCACATCTTGAGGTGGGGAACCCGGAAGGTCATCTCGCAATGGTCGGGCACCTGTCCTGGCCGTTGTACGTGTACGACACGGCGAGACGGCTTCTCGAGGCCCCCATTCGTGTAAGAAGACTGCATTCGGCGGGGAAGAAGCGGGGGGTGGCGGGGAAAACATGGAGAGGCCATTACCCATGATATGGACTAAAAGAACAGTTTGTGTCAGTGTTACCGGATAAATTCGAGCCCCAGCGGCGCTTCCTGATTACACGTCATGTTCACCCTTGCTCGGGTGCTTCTTGGTCTCCGAGAGTAGGAGATTTGCCAGGGACATAGTAGGTAGTGGAGAAAGCTTCTCATGGTCAACCTCGGGAAAGTGGGCGTCCTTTTCTGTGATATATCCTGCTTAAAGAGGGGATAGGTAAGACGGAGACAAGGGCATTCGGCTTCCTCGTGGGGGTTTCCCCAACAGTTGGAACTCGTTAATGCTTGACCGAGAGTTTCGCCGAAAGTGCTCGGTAAGTCGGTGGGGGTGTGGTACGTACCTAAGATAAGCAACTTAGGTATCTAAGGTACCTTACCTTAGGTAAGGTAGGTATCTTTACCTGGTACTTGGTAAGTACGACGCGACGTCCTCTATTCACCCAGACTGTCCTACGGAATTCCATCCAACCGTTCCTCATACAAACAATACTGTCAATATGCCACCAGACGCGCAAATAGTAGACGACGAGGAGGCCGAGGAGTACGAGTCTTCTCAAGACTCCGACTTTAACCCCGAAGCCAACGACGCGACCAACCGCCCCTCAGACCAGGCCTCCTCCGATTCCGACTCCGACTCGAGCGACGACCAAGCCTCGTCTTCTCGCAATAAGAGAAAGCGCCCGTCAAAAGTTGGCCCAACTGAAGACGCCGGTTTCGAGAATTCTGGCGACGAAGCCATCATCAGCAAGGCGAAAAGAAAGAAGAGGAAGAAGAACAAGAGCAGCACACAAGATGACAATGGATTGCAAGTTGGGGAAGACGACGATGAGGGTGGCGAAGGGGGGTTGATAAAGACAAGAAGCATGAGAGCACAAGGGTGAGTCATTCTGTTAACTCGACGATAGAAACCATGCGGACCTCCTGACAAAACAGTAGGAAGGAAGAGAGGAAAGCCGCGGCCATCACCGGCCCCGTCACCATCGACGTAGACTCGCTCTGGGCGCAGATGATCGCTGGCGCAACTCCAGCCATACAACCACCAGCGACATCATCAACAGGAGCAGCAGCACCGACCTCGCAAGACGGGGAGACGATGGACGTAGGCGCAGCCGCACCACAAGCCGCCGCCCTTCCCCGTCCCACCCCCCTCGAGAACGACGGCGACCCCCCATCCATGATCCGAATCAAGCGAACCTACAACTTCGCAGGCAAAGTGCACACCGAAGTCAAGCTCGTCCCGCGGGACTCGGCCGAAGCCAAGCTCTACCTCGCCTCCCAAAAGGACGCCGCCGCCGAGACCGCAGAAGACGACGACACGGCCGCCCCTCCGCAACGCACCCTGAAAAAGGCATTCCGCTCCGCCTTCGAACCCGTCCTGGAACAGACCGCCGCCGCTTCTTCCGCCCGCTCCGACCTCAACTTGGGCGTCAGCGAGCGCATGAAGGCCCGCGAGGACGCCGTGCGCGCCAAGAAGCTCAACACCGTGGAGAAGAGCCGCATGGACTGGGCCGGCTATGTGGACCGCGAGGGGCTCAAGGACGAACTCGAGCTCGCGGGAAGGTCCAAGGGGTCGTATGCCGAGCGGCAAGATTTCCTTTCGCGGAGCGAGGCGAGGCGTGAGGAGGGGGCTTGGAAGGCGAGGGTGGCCGGAAAGATCTGAGGAGAGGCGAAACTGCCATGCTGGTGCTGGTGCTTCCCTGGGCTTGTTGTATTATTATGCATGCACCGGCTAATGGTTCTGCGACGTTGATATGACTGACTCTTTGGTTTATGGATAGGATGGAAAGGAATGATACCCATACCCCCCCAAATAATTATCCCACTTCAGACGATGGAATGATGAATCCAATAGCCCGTAAAAGCGTCGCAACACAGCAATATAGGGCCACATGAGACAGATGTATTGGATACTACCTTACGCCCAACGACGTCGGCTCAGAGACTTCGTTCCTAGTAGAGTGAGTCCTCAGGTTTCTTACAGGAAGCTAAAAGGATGATAATCCAACAGACTGCCCGGGAATGCAAAGGAGAAGCTTCACATCTGCACAAGCAATGGAAATGCCATTCGGCGAAAAATCCTCGTCCCTAAGCTAACCCGACCATCCTTCGTCTAAATCCAGTGACACCTTCTGCCAATCAATGTGTGTTCGCGAACCCGTCGTATACGCTGCCCAAACAGGAGGAATATTATGCCCTTAGTGATACAAAAGCCTCGCCTCTATACCTGAGCATGGTTCTACTGGCTCTGCTGCAGAAGACACTGGATGTGTTCTATATCGGAGATGGTCTCGTTGAATACCTTCTTCACAGACCCAAGCACCTTCATTCGGTTCCACTCTCCCCGCGTCCTCCAGATCTCGTCCATCAGCTCTCGGTTGATCTGTTCGAGTTGTTCAATCGTGCATCCCGATGTGCGCTCTGTCAGGTCATCGAGGAAATTCTCAACCTGACCCTCGTGGATAACTGGCTGGGGTTGCGACGGTGAAGATCCCGAGTTGCCCGAGTTTCTGACGTGCTCATTGCTCGGTGAGTCGTGGAGGCTGCTGGATGGACGCTGGGACGGATAAGATCCCACCCCCACATCTCCCGGGTGAACAAAACCTCGCGCAATGCCGTCGGCTTGGGAATGCGCCCATGAGTCGTCACCACCGTGATTCGACTGGGCGCCGGGGAGTTCCTGCGTGTCGAGGAGCTGCGAATGATCGTTCTGCGTGTTCTGGTCCGCGGGATAGCCGTTGGTCATCTGCGTGCTCCACTTGCTCGAGGATCGGTCCGATGGGTCAGACGTCTTGGTCGTCGACGCATCGTTCGCGAGAGCGGAAGGCGACACTCCCGGTGGGACAGTCGTGACGGCGGATTTCTGGGACAGCTGTGTCACGCCAGCGGCTGTGGCTGTGGCTGTGCCCATTGATTGATCTCCAGAGGCAAGCCCCGCCACGGGTCCCTCGGCCGGTGGCCTCATTAGGGTGTGTTCGGCAACCGGCTGCGTATCGTCGTCGACACCACTCATGTGCACGTCGCTCTGTATCAGCGGCTTAGAGATCCCATTGCTCAGTGCACGTGAGCCCAAGCGCCCACCAATACCATTAGATGGGGGGCTCATAGGCTGGAAGCGCGTGCTAGTATGACGGGATCCGGGGATCGGCTCGCCCAAGGTAACTGGACCCTGAGAGTCGCTGTCGTTAGCAGCGGCCGTGTCAGACTGGACGAGGTTGACGATGGACTGCATCGCCCTGCGTTTGCGCTCCTTCTCCGCCGCCGCCTTCGCACGCTGCAACTGCCTGGACCGAAGGCCTTCCCAGTCGATGTTGCTGTTGGCTTGAATCGCCGCGACATCCACCTCGACGTTGCTGACAAGCTCATTAGCCTTAAGGGTCCTCTCCTTGTCGCCAATCTTTTTGGCATCCTTCGCGAGAGTTTTGATGTCGTAAAGAAAATCTTCAGGCCGCGCGTAAAACCCGTTAGAGAGTCGCTCCTCGATGGTGGTGGTCTCGAGGTTGTGGAACGTCTTGCCCGTCGCTGTTTCCCGCAGGACATCGTTCCCATATTTGTCCTTGACGATCTCGAATGGGCGCTCTTCGGCTCCGGGAACGTCCGGGCGGATGTAGTTGGGGTCGGATTCGAGGAAGAGGTACTCCAGCTGGTGAGCTGGGATGACTGGTTGCCTGAACTTCTTATACTTCCTGTTGATCTGGTCCATGATCGGCTGAAGTTGTACTTTCAGGATGTTGAGAAGCTGACGATCTCTCTTCTGCGTGGCCTTTTCTTCCTCTTTCGAAGGGGCTTTCGGCGGCGGGGGAGGAGCAAGTGGCAGCTTCTCAAGCACTCGTTTCTTCCTGTGAGCCGGGTCTGGGAAGTCGGTTGGGCTCTTGCGGATGTACTCCAATATAGACTTGAAGTACTCGCGGCGATTCTCCTGTTCAGACAGTCAGTCTTCGACTCAAGTAAAGAAGCACGGGGGGAGAAACGAGTCGGAACGTACAGCTTTCGGCCGAGCAATCTCCAGTCTATTCTTCATGGAATAGGCGAATATCTCCTTCCATAGCATAGGATCAATACCCTCCCCATTTTCGTACTCGGCCGTGGCAAGTACCAAGATGGGATCTGTGGGAGGTATGGACTTCAGCAACGCTTTGAATGTTACGTAGCCAACAGTATCTCTTAGCGTAGTGAACCACGAGTCGATATTTGGGATATAGATGACGCTGGGCTTGTGCCTCTTGACTTCGGTGAAAAGGCTGACAATCACTTGCTCAACGGGCTGCCAGCTTGTCAGTATCAACCGGGGTCTCATCAGAGGCGAATAAATCCGTGCCAACTTACACGTCCATCAGCGAGTAGGGTGGGCAGACCAAAATTCTGGACCTGGACTCCTTCAAAGTAGTGCAGCAAAGCAGACGACAAGTACGCTTGGCCCATGCCGACAAGCCCAGTAATGAGAAATCTGGGTCTGAAAATGCGAGATCGCTCAAACTCTTGATGCATCTGTTCGCGCCCAAAGCCATGGTCATCGTCGTCGAACTGTTCGAACATAGCTTCCTCCAGAGCCGTCAGCTTCTTCTTGCGAGGGAGAAGCTCGTCGAGGATTTCCTTGACCGTGTTGAACTGATCACGCAGAAGAGGTTCAACCGACTTGGGGAGGGGCGCAGCTCCGGACCCCGCCGACCTCTCCGAGGACGGGATCATTTTCTTGATTGACATCATGAAATCTGCGGCGTGGACGTTGATCTTTGCAGGGTCGACAACAAGCTTATCCGTCGCACTGTAGATCTGGGGATACGTTCTCTGAATGGAGTTGAGAGCCGCCTCGGTACAGAGTGCCCGAAGGTCGGCGCCGCCATATCCTTTTGTGTTCTCGGCTAAAGAATGCTTGAAGCTGTCGGAGAGACCCCAGTCCTTTGTGTGTATGTCGATGATGGAACGGCGACCTTCCAAGTCTGGCAGAGGGAAGTAGAACTCCCGGTCGAAGCGACCGGGGCGCCGGAGCGCAGGGTCAATATTATCCGGCCGGTTGGTCGCGCCAATGACGATGACTTGGCCACGGCCATCCATACCATCCATCAATGCCAAAAGGGTCGATACGATGGACGCATGGATCTGCTCTTGTTTACTCGAGCGCACCGGAGCGAGACCATCAATCTCATCGAAGAAAATGATGCTTGGCTGCGTTCGTCTAGCTTCTTCAAAGAGAAGCCGGAGCTGCTTTTCGGCTTCGCCCACCCATTTACTGAGGGCATCCGCTCCTTTGCGCATGTAGAAAGTGATCTTCCGACCACCAATGCCAACAGAATTGGCGAGAGCTCTGGCCAAGAGAGTTTTACCAGTTCCCGGCGGTCCATGGAACTAGACGCTGGTGAGCAATTGCCCGGCGTTGTGAGGAAGAAAAGGAAGAAAGAACAAGGAGAAAGGGGAAAAGGAGAAAGGAGAGCTTACCAAGACACCCCGGGGTGGGGTGACGTGAAATTTCTGGAAGAGTTCGGGATACAATAGAGGCAGCTGCACCATCTCCTTGAGCTGGTCGATATGACCCTTTAAGCCACCGACTTGGCTGAAGTCCACACTCAAATCAACGCCTAAGGGGTCTGCATCGGCCAACGCCTTCTGATTCTTGACCTTCCCAACGTTGGGTGTCGCTCCGAGACCAGTCTCCCCGAGCGTCTGAGCCAGGCCTGGAAGCAGTGCTGGTGCGGCAGCCGAAGTCGGGGTCATGCCCACATTGCCAGCCATGCCCGACCTGTGGCCCATTTCGTCATCGCTGCTATCTGATTCAACGCCGCCGGTGGCTCCAGTGCCCCAGGGCCCGCCGAGGAGCGAGCCAATCCCGCCGCCGCCACCAAAGGGGCCGAAGGTGGTGTTGAGTGGCCGATCCCATGCTTGGCTAGCACCTGCACGGCCGCGACGGCGCGCTGGTGTGGGAGCGGGCTCTTCCCCGACGTCCTCTTCTTCCTCAATGTGGGCCGCAGTCACGGGGGGCATGAAGTAGTTCATAGGTTTAGCAGCAGCACGGCGCCGCTTTGACACGGTTTCCTGGTAAAGAATGGCAGGAGAGGGTCGCCGGGCTCGGCGAGACCGCGTGCGTGAGGTTTCTCTGAGATCTTCCAGTTCATCTGCCAGCTCGTCCTTGTCAAGCTCAACTTCGTCATCCAAGTCGGCGCCCCGGCGAGAGCTTTTGGCGGATCTGCCCTTGGTTCTTCCGCGTGGACCTCGAGGGGTTGGACTGTCAAGGCCAACGTCTTCCTGATTGGCATTTGATGAATCGGACATGGCTGCATCCTCGGCAGACTCCTCACCGGGCTCAAAATCGCTACTTGGCTCCTGGGCCGACTTCGACTTTCGAAGGGCAGATCGGCGAGTCAGTCGACGACTTGGATGTTGGCTTGCTTTCTCTGCTGCGGAGTCCTGGTCGTCGTTTTCCGGGCCGTTGGTTCGTCGCGCTCGGGTGCTACGACCTCTAGTAATTGGAACGTCATCCTCGTCTTCTTCTTCCGCCTCGGGTACCACTTCATCGGCCACAGGGGCCTCGCCCGGTGCATCTGCCTCCTCAGCCGGAGCGTCCTCCATTTCGGCATCCGCAGTGACGTCGGCAGCGACATCCTCGTGGTGGCCGGCTAACTCATCAACCTCTTCGGGCTGATGACCGTTGCTTTCTTGGGTGGCTTCCTGAATAGTCTCGGGGGGCTTGGCTAGCCCTTTGGCGGCACGGGATGATCGGGTACGAGTTTTGATTTCCGGGCTTCTACTCTTGGAAACCAGACGAGCATGCCTTCCGGAGTTCGACAGCTCTACTGGTTCTTCATCGGCCTCTACTGTCCGAGAGCGCGTTCTCCTTTGTGGCGCACCAGCCAGCGCCAGCTCCAACTTCGACCGGTTGATCTTGAGCTTTACGAGCTTCGTAGGCTGCTGCCCCTTGGGCTTCTCAGGCGGATCCTCGACCTCCACTGCGCTGCTGTTGCGTCGGGTGTTTTTCCTTGTGGCAGCAGCTGCAACAGGGGAATCGCCGGAATCATCGGCCTTATCTTCCTCCTCCTTATCTTCTTCATTTTCCTCGTCCTCTTCATTTTCCCCGTTGTCTTCTTCTTCTTCTTCGTCTTCACTTTCTTCTTCGTACTTCACGGGCTTGGCTGCGGCTCTCCGGGTCTTTCGGCCTGCGGCATTGACTGGCAAATCATCATCCTCGTCGTCATCTTCACCGACATCATCCTCAAAGGATTCGTCGGCTTCGCTGTCCGAAATATCGTCATTGTCTTCGATATCTGACCCTCGATACCGGTTATTCCTCTTCCGGCTACCTTTGGAACTCTTTAATGAGCGCGAGCGTTTTTTGCTCCTACTCGGCCGATCCACGCCCGGCTCAAAGTTCTCATCCTCGGGATCAGATTGATTGGGGTCGAAGAAGAACTCTTCTCGCTTTCGCTTGCTTGCCATTTTGGAGTCGTCGAGCGAAACTGGGAAATCTGTTGGTTATGTGGAGGCCAAGCTGAAGCCGTTGCGACACTTCGGCCTTCCGTTACTGATCCAGGAATCGTAGCCTAGGCAAGCTTCGTGGTCTTAAGATCTGGGTTCGGTTGGCGGAGCCCCGGGAAGGTGCGATGACTGTACTGGCGGTAATTGACGGAACCGCAAAGGATTGAGGCGAGGTAGGAAGTATCACCAGCCGAGAGGCTAGAAATCGGGCACCGGTGTGATGACAGGGAATGATGAATGGCGTATTGGAGATCAATCGGGTCGTAGTTATGGTCAGCCATTCAAGGCAAGCGACAACTCCATGGGAGGGGTCTGCACGTATTGCCCTTGACCAGTAAGTGAAAGAGCTTTCGAAATGGCAACAAAGTGTCTCAAATGGATAGTGACAATGTATCGAGTCGAGTGTGGAATAATAGAATTCTACCTTTGATTGACTAGTCGATGGATGATGGTTGTGAGGGTGGACAGGAAATGAGGCAGGGTTCAGTGGCTGGTTAACGTGGGTCGAAAATTCCCCTGGTGGATGTCGATGCCGAGTGGCACACAAAGCTGGTATGATGTAGAAGGGAAAGTGAGGCAAAGAAAGAAAGAAGATGAAATGAAAGCCGTGTGAAGATAAGCAAGCGTATAGTGACGACCACAGTGCTGTGTCGAAGGGTAGGCACTGACGGTAGTTGAGGGAAATGCCCAGCAGTTGCAAAAAAGCACAAAACAATCGCGTTGGTTGCGCGGTTGGTTTGTACGGACGTGGAAGGTGTTCAAAGGGGCAGGGAGGAGGAGGAGCGAGGCTTCGTGTGGGTCTCACGTGCAGAGGAAACCTATGGGTCCGTGTCCCGAAAAAAGATGCTGATTGGCCTATTATGTTCCCTTGGACAGAAAAGCCGGTCAACTACGTGGTGTTGCCCCAATTTTTTAGGGGCACTTGCTGAACACAGGACATCGAATTTTAGATTCACAACAATCAAGTTCACAATTGAATGATTCGATTATCTATTCCAAATGGATGTTTAAGTGGCCGAACAATGACTTGATCGGTATCAATGGGTAGCAGAAGATTATGCGACTGCATGTTAATAGCCCGCTTAGTGAGTTCATGAAATCTCAGCCCGGCGCACTCCATCAAAGACAAGACAGATCAAGCAAAAGCATGCCAGGCACAGCTACCCAGCAGCTCGGGCCAGGACTTGAGGGCTCATGGATAAGCTTCAATGTTTCCAAGATCAGCCCTACGACAGATGGTCCGAAATCTGGGGTAACGCGTCCTCGTCTCCACGCTCCCCAGCCTCACGATGAACCTGATTATGTGGCTGTGCTGCTTAACTAAGCTATGTCCGGTCGGTCGCGGTTTTCAGTGGCTCTTGGTCATGTGATAAATCTATGCACTTACCTACCTAGGTACTTCGTATTTCTACACGTAAGGTATCCGCATAAAAGGTACCGAGTACGAATACACCACCTGACTTGTTCGCGCGACGCTAATACTGCGTCGGGGCCGCGATGCACTGACTGCTGACATACCGTTTACAGAACGCGGACCAGGGGAAACAAAGCAACTGCAAGGATATGCCTCCACCACGGCTTATGTCTCTCTCCCCCGAGATCATCGGTCGACGAATTGGGCGATCTTCCTAGACAAGGTCTTGGCCGTGTGGTCAAACAAACAATTGACGATAAGGCGAGGCCACTCTATCTCACCTGAACTGGCGGAAAGGGTTCATCTATGCCATATTTGGTAAACGAACGACATGGCGAGTGCCACTGGCCTCAGCCGAAACCTTGAAATGCCCTCCAAGAAGAACAAAAACCCATTCGGTCAGACCTTCCTGGGGACGGCCCAGCCCTATGTATACAAGCAACGGTTAGGAATTGCGGACCTTATCGAAATGGCTGATTTAATTTTAGTGCTGCCTACCTTACCTTAGTGCTACCACGTCCACAGAGTCGTGCTGATTGGCGGTCATCCATCAAATTGTCGTCAAATCCCACCCTGATCTCCATTCTCTTATTTATCCCTCGTCCACCTCGTATCACATTCATTGGACCAAGAACGAATTACTCCTTTCCCCGAAGAAGGAGGATGGACGGAGGGTCTGGTTTTTGCCTCGTTTGATGGCCCAACCCAATGGATTAATGCCAAATCACTTATCCAAATCGAGCCCCTGTCAAGGATGGTAAGCGAATGCAAGGGTGGAGAGAGGCCGGCAAGTTCCTATTCGCATAACCTCCATCCATTTCGAGGCCACCATCGGGTCGGTGTGCAAAAATGGGAAGCACCAGGAACGCATGGTACTACGAAGTACGAGGCCCCGCAACTGAGGTCGCACATGTGATGTACACGTTGTATCCACCGGTCCACTTCCCCGCGAGGAGCCAAGCACCGCGGGGAGATCCGGCGGTGGGTGGGCGATTGATACGAAACCGAAGAAGCATTTAAGAGCCTCGACAGACCCCGAGATGGACGGCATTCGATCTATCTTAGGTATTCAACAAGACCGTTGCTCTTCTTCAGTTTCACCAACGGATATTGGTCTACTTTAGCCTACCAATCCAACACCGAACAGCCCCACCACTATCAACAACTCTTGTTCTCAGGAACCAGTGCTACGTCCTAGGTAGTACTAATATCCATTATTTACTGCGTTGTCTCGGTGTGCCAGTGACGCTTCCCTGTGATGGCACTCTGCTTCCTGCATCATATCATCTCCATCTTAGTTGAGTGATTCGGAAGTTAGCTATAGAAGCCGTCCAGTTGCTGTGCACCCAAGCCATCGTGTTTGTTCTCGAGATTGTGAAGACCATACGTATTATCCGTCGCGTCTTCCACCGTCCCGGCACTTAACATATCCTACTTTCACGTACCAAACCCTTACCTCACTCACAACCATTCCCACCGCCGCAATGGGTTTCTCCCGAACGTCCCTTCCGGCTCCCATCGTCGTGGAAAAGCAAAAGGTATGGAAAACACATCGCCACCTTTCACCGCCCCCATCCAAGAGACCAGTGAAACTAACTGCCTGCTGAAGAACCGCACGAGCTCCTACTCGAGCCAGAACACATCCCACTCGTCGGCCTCGATCTCTTCAACAGCTTCATCGAAATATCCCGGCGGTGCATCCTCCCCTATCCCACGCCGCAACATGAACGTCTACACCCACTGCGGCCGGCATACCAACGAGTTCCTCTTTGGCGGGCGATCCTTCACCGACATGGCCCGCTCCCTCTTTCGCGGTATTAAGCGCGACGACTGAAAGTCGCACTGAACTCCGCCATCGCCTGGTCTCCCGGCTTATCATATTGATTGAGTGGGGATAGCCGAGCGAGACGCACCAACCTTTACACGGTATACCAGCCGTCCCTTGAAAGGACAACTGCTGCCGCAGCCTGGAGCATTGGCCGGTCCAATCCTATACCAAGGAAGACCAGCCATTGCGATTCGACCGGGAATTATCAAAACGCCAGACAAGATTGCAAGCGACCCCGTCGTTGGCTATTCGTCGGGAGACGCTCCTTGCACATCCTAACGACGGTGCAGAGGTGTGCCAAGACGTCGCCGTTCATAAGGGAAAGGCCACGGCATGTCTCTTCCCCGCGATCGGAACCGGAAAAGGGTGTCCCTGGCTTTGACAGGATTTGGCTTCATCCCATGTCCCACGTCGGGCCCGCTAGACGTTGAGACATTCCCTTTGATCCCGTCCCCTCCTACTCTGGGAGACTGGTACGGAAATTTCTTGTTTCTCTCGCCATGAGAGAAGCCCGATGGCGCAATAGTTTGGGATAACGTGGTGTTGGTACTGCTTTGCTCAATGTATAATGTGTTGTCACTCTTGTGCCACATGCTTTTGCGAAGAGAACCTGAAGATGGAAATAGTTGATAGTACTTTTACAAGGCACAAGATACCCAGAATAGAGACGTATACCCAGGAGGCAATGTCCATAGTGGCTGAGACACAGTTCAACGCCATCACTTAGGGGGGACACCCACTTGGATTCTATACCCATATATGCCCCTGCCTTCGAAATGGGACGGCATCCGAGTCGACTTTCAAAGTTTGCCCCTTTCTGTAACAACCTTTGCGTAGCCACGACTCCTCTCCTCGTTCAATGTGTGGTCGGAAGGCTGCCACCACCGAGGGCTCGTGATGGAGAGACACTGTCGGAAAACCCCACAAGTACACCTGGTCCCAGCCGGTTGTTTGGATCGAATTATGCATTAAATTAGGTGTAAAGTAAGGCGTCGTCAACGGGTGAAAGAACAGAGCTGCTCTTGTCCAGGAGGAATTTCCAAGTACTAGAGTTGCCAGGAGGTGGGTTTGCTCGGCGGACCGACGACACTCGAGGCGGCTCGGAGCGCGAGGCAAAAATTACACACTGCAATCTCCTCTTGCTTGGAACCCAGCGGGGCTTGTTTATATTTTCCATAAAAGAGTGGAATGCAGGACGTCAAAGCACGTTGACTCAGTATGACCAAGGACGGACCACCAGCAGGCCACCGATTCAGTTCGCGGCTCCGCTGACACATCGCGAATGGCATCGCCCTGTTAGGCAGCGAAGTGTAAGGTAGTCAATCGACATTACAAACAGTATGCGTCCAAAATATGTAGAGGACCCGGTCACGGACTCCACCACGGGATCGTTTGCTTGCTCCGGTTCTGCGTCGTTCTGTACCTATACTCTGGTCTTCGCTTTGCCTTGCGACTAGGTACTCCTGAAATTGCAGTTCCTGGGCGCCCGATATTGATATCCGATACCTTACTTCATGTATACCTTAACATGCATGATTGGCAGCTGTGAGGCTCTTGTTCCTGTCGTTGGTCGACTAGGAGGCATCGTGATCCCGCTATCCAACTTAGCTCGCATACGCATATCATGGCATTGGTTTCATACCTTCGTCTCTCACTTCCTGTAGTAGCTCGTTGGCTGTTGCGTACTCGCCTCTCCAGCAATTGGAGACAACAGTGCGCAACGCGGGTAGATGATCCAAGGAAGGGAAGTCTCCTGACCTGATGGCTCTCTCCACCTCATTACTCTTTCGGCCCTCGAAGGGATTCTTCCCAGTCATAATTTCAAAGAAAGTGCTGCCCAGAGCAAAAATCTCACTCTGGATCGACGGCTCCTCAGCATCAGGGTGAGAGTGGCTGGTCCCATACCACCCAAAGGGCTCTTTCTCATCAATCGAAGATCCTGCAAAGTCGCCAAGAAGAGCATTGCAGCTAGCATCCAGGAAAATGTTGTCATATGAGATGTCGCAATGGAATATCCCCTTCGAGTGCAGGAAAGAGATTGCTTCTGTCACTTGTTCCGCCCAAAGTAATCTCATGGCCAGCGGGGGCATGTTGTGCGAACAGTCCAGGTACTGTCGAACTGTGCCGTGAGAGGCAAATTGCAAGAGCACACTTGCTTCGAATGTGCCATAGTATGGGAGAATTGACTTGTGCCGACCGAGGCGTTCATATATGGCAACCTCCCTGTCTCTTTCATCTGGATTAGTGTAGCACTTGGCGACAGCATCCACCCGGAGCACCCAGGATGACAAGCCCGTGCCAACGATGGCATTATCGTCTATCCGAGGCGGTATATCAACTCGAACGACCCGTTCCATGTTTACATGTCATCGGCATGGCAACAAAAGCGCGGCGTCTTTCGCGTTCGGCGCGGTTTGCCGTTCGTGTCGTGTGGATTTTGGTGAGGAGGGGAATATATGTGCTGCAATGTGCCAATGGCTCAATAAATCATGCTCACCTTTCATACTAAGAGAGAGCTTTGACGCACCTACCCAGGCCACCAGTTTCGATTTCAAGTGGTGGACGGGTTGTGAATGCTCTGTTCAATCCGAATTGCGAACAGGGGGAGGCATTAGGCGGGATGTCACGTGTTCGGCTAAGTAGATGTCAGGAAGTCTTGGTGGCTGGTGACGGTATCAGCATTCATGAGACGACTTGAACTGGCACCCAGACACCCCGTACACAAGAACCCTACGAAAAACTTCGTCCTAGCAAAGCACCTGATTGCGAGAAAATCCACATGAGGCCCGAGTCGGATTGTTCCACCACAATCCCTGTCAACCCGCGAAGAAAAGCCGGATCCTTTCGGAAGAGTCTCTGCCGTCTTTAACAGTCAGATATAAAACGACTGCTAAGAATAATGACGTTATTATTATTATTATTATTCTTACTCCGCTATCCTATCTAATCTGTAGGAGCCTATTCAGACTATACGGTCCTTCTCGGGTGGCTATAGAGGGGAAAAACCCAGGGCCCCGGGGGAAAAACCTCTATACTTATCCTTAGTTAGAGTAGTGCCTTAGCGGGGCTAACGTGGCCCCGGTTTACCCCGTCTACGTATCTGGATTATACCTTTAGGCTAATGGCTAACGGGAAGGGTAGTAGGCTATAGTTCGGGTTAGCCTAGGCCGGTTATTAGTAATAGGGCGGGGGTCGAAAGGGTGCCGCGGGGTCTCTGCCATGTAGCGGCCGCGGTATACTAATATCGGTCTCCTTATATCCCCGGGGCCGCGCCTATTATTCCTTCTATTTAATTAATAAAGAAAAGACGAGGCAGGCGTTCCTGCTGCCTAAAAAAAGGGGGGGGGGGGGGGCCTTTTATATCCGGCGGTAGGTAGGAAGGATAGGGCTCCGCCTATACCCGAAAAAATAGTAGATAGATAATAGAATTTAAGGTCCTTTTCCTTTTCCTCTTTTCCTTCCTATAACGCTATAGAGCACGTTATAGGTATCCCCCGTTATATTCCCGCTTACGGCCTTAAAGGCTTACCGTCGCGGCGTCGTGCTAACTAATAATATCTTCTAGTTTTCCTGCTCTTAATTTATAATTTCCTTAGTTAGAACTAGTACGTGGTGGTTTATAGGTAGCGTGGCGGTGGCGTGGGGTTAACTAGGTAGTATAATAGTAGTAGTAATAATAATCTTAATATTAACTGTAAATAAAAGCATAATATAAGTGTCTCTATATCGTGGCGGTATCATAGTAGTAGTATACTAATAACCGTAGATATCTCCCTTTAGTAACAATAATAACCGGTATAAGTAAAGTACTATTCGAGTTATACCGTATATATATCTTAGTAGTGCCGAAGTGGTGTTATAGTGGCTAACCTATAGTAGTTACCTCTATTATAGTACGCGTCTAGGTAGCTACCCGGATAACGTTTCCGCCTACGCTAATACTACCGGCACCGGTGCCGTATACTTTTAATACGCTAATAGCCGGCGCCCCTATAAGGATATAAGCCGTTACTATACCGTGGTGGTGCTATCGGTGTATCGAGGCGATCTAACTAGTCGATAAATCCCCCCCGCTACGAAGAAATAGTAATAGCATCTTATTAACGCTTATAGTCTTTATATATCGGTAAAGGCTACTAGTGGCGACGGTATCGCTATAGTAAGTGGTCTCCTTACGGTATCGCGGTAGCGCCTTACTAATAACTTATTAGGCTAAGGAGCGCCTAAAGACGGCGGCTTTATCCTTTAAACGGGCTATCTCTCGGGCGTTACTTTCCGGTCGCGGCTATAGCGGCACCTTATCGGTAGAGGCGACCTTATAGGATATCCTCCGCCGTGTCCGCTATATAGAGGCGATAGTAGGTATCCTAATAGATAACTATATACGTGGTCTCTTTTCGGTTCCGCTACGGCGCCTCCGCGATAGCAGAATAGCTAACCGGTTCTAGGACCTTAAGTATATCGAGAGCGGTATTAGTGCCTTTAAGGGAGGTAAGGACAGGGCTAGCGAGGAGTAAAAAGGGGGGAGGGCTACGGCCCGATAACGCTTCGATACCGCTAGGGTCCCGGCTAGTAAGGCCCCTATTTAATACTAACTAGGTCGTTATATCACTTCTTCCCCGCTATAGTGCCACTGTATTCTTATAGGCTTCTATAACTTTAAGGGTAAGGCGGAAGTCGTTAAGCCTTTTCCATTATAGGAACTATTTAGCTATCGCCCTGGCTTCGGTATTATAGTCTAGTGCGTCGTATAAATCCCCTCTAGTTATAAGTGGCCTCCCCACGGCACCGAAATGCTCCCTACGCTCTTCCTCGGTCACGTCCTAGCACTAGAGTATTATATACTCCGCTATTTCTGCTCCTCCGTTACTATAGGGGCACCGCGTTATTAGAAATCCCGGCACCCTCGCTTTTACTAAGAAGGCTTATAGGCCTAGCTTTTCTAATCTGATTTAGGTAAGTGCGGCGCTTTATAGCTTTAGTAGTCCTCTATATTTCCGGAGGGAGTATTATATCGGGGGGCGGCTTAGTACTGCTACGGTATAGGTATACGGTCTCCGTGCCTCTACCTAGGTTTAACCCTAGTCCCTTATAAGGGTTTTCCTCGGGGCCGTGTTTCCGGTCTAGGTTATTAGGGTATTAAGCTAGGCTATCCACGCGAGGGCCGCGTGGGTCCTATAGTATCGATTCGGTGCCGCTAGGGCTCTTACTACGGCGTATACTCTAGCTAGTATCTTATCTTCGGTTCCCTCCTCTTATATCCGGCGGACCTTCCGGGTAATAAGGCTTAAGAGGTATAGGTTAAGGGGGGGGATAAAGGTCTCCTTTTTAAGGACCCTAACCGGCGTGGCTTTATAGGCTCCGGCCACTAATCGGAGGCACCGGTTCTATACCGTTATAAGTGCCGCGGCGGGGCCTTTCCAGGGGCTAGCCCCTATCTTATAGACGGCCGAGACGTAGTAGGCGATTATTAGCCGTATTACTATAAGGTATAGCCTTCTTACGTCTACGAAGCTATACCCCTACGCTACCGCGCTAAGCCTAAAGAGGGCGTATATTTAGGTGGCTAGTCGGCTCTTTACCTTTTTAGTGTTTTATCGGAAGCGAGCTTCTTATTAAGCTAAACGCCTAAGAACTTTATCGCCTCCGTTACCGGTACCGAAATAGTATTAAGGGGGAGCGGGGTAGGTAAGGGTTAGCGTGACTTCGTGAAGGGGATATAAATACACTTAGCTAGTTTAAACTATAGTTTACTCGCTATCTCTTAATCTAGGTATATCCGCCACGTGTTGGTAAGGCGTTACCGCGTTTACGCCTCTATCCTGCCGAAGGCGATAATATTCGTGTTATCGGTAAAACCTACTACCGTCGTCTTAAGGACCCTTTCTAGTTCTTCGTATAGAGTAGAGATATAGAGGATAAAAAGGCTAGGAGAGATTAGGGAGCCTTACGGTATACTACTATAAAGGTACTACGGGGGGGCCGTTTTACTATTAAGTAATAACTAAGCTATACGGTCTTAGAGGAAGCTACTAATTAGGGTAATAAGCTACCGGGGGAAGCCTTTCCTTTTTAGCACTCTAAGGAGGCGAGAACAGGGGATAGTATCGAAAGCGCCTTTAATATCTAGTTAAAGTATTAAAGCGGTGCCGCTATAGGCCTAGCTCGCCCTTATAGCCTCTATAACTCTTTATACTACCGTCTTTATACTTCGCCGTATCCGGTTACCTATTTATCCCTCCGGGAGAAGCCGTTACTCCTCCGCTACGGTTATAATCCGGTTAGCTAGTATCCCCTTAAGGACCTTACCTATTATACTAAGGAGTAATATCGGTCGCTAGCCTTTTACTATCCCGTAGTCGGCCGGCGGCCGGCCTTCCTTCTTAAGGACTACCACGGTAGTATAGCGGTACCTTTTCGGGTAGTAGCTCGCTTCGAGGCACGCTATAAAGATAGCACTAAGTCTTTAGTATAGGGGGGGTCTATACGCTTTTAGGAGCCCTGCTAGGAGTCTATCGGGTCTTAGTACCGCCTAGGGTTTTATTTTCTTAAGGCGCCCCTATACGTCCGCTACGGTAATATCTTAGCGGATATCCTACCCGGGGGGGAATTCCGCGCCTAAGGGCCTAGGGGCGGTGGGGAGGGGGGGTAATATGCCCTATCCGGGCACGACTCTGGCTAGCCAGCACTATAGGACCTAGACGGATCTAGGATTTAATATACCCTATCCGGGCATAATTCTAGCTAGCTAGTACTATCGGACCTAGGGAACCCAGGATTTAAAGGGTGACCTTTACTATAGTAAAAGAGGTGTAATAAAGATATCTTCGTCTAATTAAGGGGGCGCGCCCCCGGGACTTAAGTATTCCACGGGTAAACCCCGTGGAATCCTCGGCTCCTACGTATAAGAACCCGGGGGATTCCCCGGTATTCACTAATTATACCCTAGGGAAGCTATAGTATACCCTAAAGGTACCTATAGCGTACTCTGTAGGTACTATAGTATAAGCTATAGTACCGCTAGGGTACCCCGTGGTACGCCCTGGTATTCCCGGTTAAATCTAGGGCGTATTAAATACCCCGGGTAATAAAGCCCTACGTCCCGCGGGCTTTCCCCGGTAACTACGATAGCCTTACTTAAGGCACGTTATGGTTATACTAGTAAACCGCGGTATGGTTAGGGAGAATAGAAAGAAAATATTATTACGCGGCGGCGCCCTAATAGCGACCGCCGCTGTTACTATCTACTGCCTAGCCGGGCGAAGAAGAGAAGAGAAGAAAATAAAACTATACCGACGCCGTGGCGTCCCTCCTTACCGTATTCCTTAGTAAAACCTAAGGCGGGTAAGCGAATAGGTAAAAGGAAAATAAATACTATCGTGCTAGCGCCGCGGTATCCTCTCTTACCGCGTCCGTAATTTATATCACCGCGTGCTATAGCAGAGTCCTAGTTTTATCTATACCTAATATACCTAACTATATATTTAATCTAGTATAGTGATTTTATCGTTATCCGCGGGCGCTTACGGCCGTTCTATAGGGATACCCTAATACTCTAGTAGCGTGTGCAGAGCT